CCCCCCCACACACCACCCCCCCCCACACACACACACAACCCCCCCCCACACACCACACAACACACACACACACACACAACCCCCACACACACACCATGAACAAACACACACAGACCACGAGCGAGCACACAAACGAGCACACGCACACCAGGAACGAGCACGCACACACCAGGAACGAGCACACACAGGCCACAAACATGTGCCTGCACACCACACTCCACAAACACACACTCCATGCACAAACACACACACACACTCCACGCACAAAACACACACAACGCACACACACATACTACACTCCACGCACAAACACACACACCACGCACAAACACACACACACACTCCACGCACAAACACACACACACTCCACGCACAAACACACACACTCCACGCACACACACACACACTCCACGCACAACACACACACACACTCCACGCACACACACACACACACACACACACACACACACACACACACACACACACACACACACACACACACACACACACACACACACACACACACACACACACACTCCATGCACAAACACAAACAAACAAACAGAAGAATCCTAAAAGATGGGCATGAGGAATTGCAGAGCTCTTCTATTTGATGCTTAGGGTATATTGATGTTGTATTCATGTGTATCCTTCTCTGTGTATCTTATTTATAGGGTTGAGATCACAAGTCATTCGTATTTGAATTGAGTGAAGTCTTGAAGTTGTATAGTTAATTGTGATTATCATTAAATTGTGTCATATATAGGTTTCTAATTTAGGGTGAATTTTAACACAGCCATTTAGAAATACTGCCTACCAATCTTAATGTTTGTAAGTTTAAATTTTGTCAGATTCTTTCAAATCCTCATATCTTCATTCACCATAAGTACATACAGAAACTTGAGCTTTATTAACTTTATATAGGCCTGCAATGCTACAATATTCAGTGCAAAATAAAATGGTACAGTGTATTAACCTACCTGGAATCCTGTCAAGACAAGGACCTATAGTACATATTTAACACATGGTGGAAGTATACTTTTCCTTTGATGCTCATATTCCATTGGGACTTGGGCCATTGCTTATGAGAGAGAGTGGTCACCATAGGTCAGAGATTACTAGTGTGCATAATCTCTAGATGTTGGCTACTGGAACGATGTACAGTTGTGGAGAGTTTAGTGGATCTTTAGGATTCAAAAAGAAACAGACTTGTAGATGGACTCTTCTTTAGCATGGTGAGACAATAGTTGACGATAGACTTCACACTTACAGAGTACCATATAGTTACTAAGGCCTTAATGTATTTAAGAAGTGAAAGTTGTAATCACATTCATCTCTTGCGGTGAAGTAGATTAATGCATGTAACAATTCTGAAAGGAAATGAAAAGTGATCCACCATATTCTTTAATAATATTTTTATCACTTTCTCTCTACAAAGGAAAGGCATTTGAAAGTGCTTCAGAAGGAGCATTAGTGCTATAACCTGCTGAAGTATAGACAACAAAGATTGAAATTGTACTTTATATATATATATAAATTGTGAAAGTCTAGAGGTTGTATTGTATTTATGTATACTTGCAGAAGTTTATGTATTATTACTCCAGTCTTAATAGTTTAGTACGAAGCAATTATATATGTAAAGCAGATTATCTACTTTATTCATAGTCAGCCTTAAAAATATTGTCTTGGCATTTTTCATTGTATTTTCCTAACAAAAAACATTAGATATGTATAATAGAACATAAGGGTACAAGTTTTAATGAAGCAGTCCTTAAGGTCATTCAGAAGTCAGTTACTTGTGTAATTTGATTTTTAATGCTTATGAAATTATGGATGTTTCAAGGTAAAAAGTCCAGTAGACCCCAGTCTTTGCATAGGAGCCAGGCTTTCTTCTTGCTTTCTGAACGTCTCGGCAGTTTATTTTCCAGTTCTTTCCCCAATGTTCCTAGACTGAAAAGCAACTGCTTGATAGTCTTTATCACAGAAAGAACATTATTGATTTAGCTAATTTATTTTTTCACCATCTTAATCCACTGCCTCTATAAAATACATTCTGAGAAATATCCAAGTAGTGCCTTTTCCAGAATTTGGTTAGCTGATCACAGGAAACCATGGGATGTAGGTATTACGCAAGTAAATGAGTTTGTCTGGCCGAGGAGGAGTGCTCAAAATATTTTTTGAGGAATATAAAGGAAATATAATGATTAGAAAGCAGTTTCTCATGGTGCCAGTGTTTTAAGAAATTGGGTACAACTGCAAAGATTAATTGACCAAAAAATATGTGCTAAAACATTCTCATAGGTTGCAAATAATGTATTTTGATTATTTTGACTGACTATGATGTGTACATTTGTTTTGATTTTATTTTCATTTTCATTTATGTCTGTATCCTTATATTTTTTCCTTTTTTTTTTCTTTATCTTTTACATTTAGACACGGCATTATACAGATGAGAATTGCATGCATGTAATAGTTAAGGCATGGCTATGTACCTATGATCAGTGTATGTGATAATCGATAATACAAGTATTTAAACCAGACTGAGATTCATTTACACCCCCAAAGGAAAGTGTGAGCAGTATGAACTAGTAATTTTGTTGGATACTTGCAACTATACACAAACACACACACACACACACACATTCACACTCACACTCACACTCAGTCACTCTTACTTTTGCTTGATATTCCCCCTATCCTTCTTCCTCCCACTCGCTCTCAATCTTTCCCTATTATCCTTACCGCTCCTGCCTGGATGCTCACATGACTCTCTTTTATCACAAGTGTCCTCTGGTTCATCTTCCTCCAGATTTGCCTCCTCGGACTTCATCTCCTCCTGTTCTCTTGTCTCATTCCCCAAATTATTCTACTTCTCTCACGCCCATTTCTACCCTTATTATCTGCTGATTGCTCTGTAATGGCTTTTTGCAGTGTTCCTCATACAATGCTTCTCCTTCCTCAGACATAGATACTATCCATTTGATCAAATCACCCTTTACCCTAATGCTTGGGTGACCCTAATGGTGCATTCTCCCTTTACCCTAAGCCCCCTTCTCCCTTTTGCCAATCCCCACCTTACTCAAAGTGCACCCCCACTTTCCCCTCTTCACTACCATACTATCCCATAACGCTCTTGATATTAATGTATTTGGGCTAATCATTAACCCATTTTACCCTTTTCATCTCAGTACTTTAGTGCATTATGACCTTTGATGTCTGGCACATTTATTTGTTTTAACCATTAACCCTACCTTCGCACACACAACTTCTACGTGATACTATCCATACACACAGCCACACAGTTATCCATACATTATTGTGTAGATACACATACACTGGATATACTTATGCCCATAATGTATGGCATTGTTGGTGGAAACCAAAAAAGTCAAGACACTTGGTGAGTTAATTTAGTTCTAAGTGGAAAACGGTTACAACTTGCTTTTTTCTCTCTTGGGGAATAATGTATTTATGATAGAGTACGTACTCAAGACAGTGCTTTATGAGGTATAGTTGCGGACATGACTGCCACACCGCCGGAGCCCACACACACAGGTGATTGGTTGACCGTTTTGTGTGTGGGAAGGTAGGAGCAGGTAGGTGGGGGGCAATGTTGGGACGCCTTGGCGGTAGAATATTCGTTAAATTTACAAATGTGAAACATTATCTCAAGAAGGTAAAATGCGAATCACATGTTATATCATCTGTAAATGTAAATAGTATGATTTTCACACATGATTTATTGTGTCTACACGGCTCTCTTATGGAATTTATGAATGGCAAATTACCCAGTTGTTTGATGGGTTATTTATGCCGACGATTTGTTAGACGGTCGGTTTTAACACTCGGGTCACATGGAGAGAACATTAGGTCAGAAATTTCAGAGAGGTAGACCGAGATACCGTTAAGGACGATTAATCATATCCCAGGTCGATATTCATATTTAAATACAGGGACAGTAAAAAATATCAAATTTATTTCTCTCTCTTTCTCTCTCTCCCTCTCCCTCTCCTCTCCCCTCCTCCTCCTCTCCCTCCTCTCCCTCCCCTCCCCCTCTCCCTCTTCCTCTCTCCTCTCTCTCTCTCTCTCTCTCTCTCTCTCTCTCTCTCTCTCTCTCTCTCTCTCTCTCTCTCTTCTCTCTCTCTCTCTCTCTCTCTCCTCTCTCTCTCTCTCTCCCTCTCCCTCCCTCCTCTCCCTCTCCCTCTAGCCCCCCCAGTGCGAAATATATTCAGAGAAGGAACGTTCTTAACAACCAAGTAAGCATTGCTAAAGTTTACTAAACAAGCAGCTATGGTTTAGACATTAGTTTTGACATATTTGATAATGTTGAAGGTGTAGCAGTCATTCTTGCCAAGATATCTCCTTGTCTGTCTGTGTAACTGCGTACAGTTATACTGTGGATGACGGTGCAAGGGAGAGGGGGAGTCCAGTACGTATTGAACATGTGTTATATCACGATTATATAATACCTTGATTCACAAGTGTTTACTCTATCAATATAGATTAATATTCAAGAGCTGTATGACCTTTGATGCCTATCACATTTTTACTTACTTTGTCCCACTTACTGTTCATGATAATGCTAAAATTACTGCACTTCCGTTCGCTACCCCAGTCCTCGGTCCACCTTCCTCTACTCTGCCACCCCTCTCTTCTATCCCCGAGCCGTCCCACCGTGGTCCCCCACCTACCAACTCCTACCCTCCCACACGTAAACCTGTCAACCAGAAACGACCCAACGCCTGTGTGTGGGCTCCGACTGTGTGTTAGAATCATGTGTCCGCAACTGTACATGAATATCGATTGTCTGGATAGTTTTCCATTAAACTTCATGGTGAAATGCACGATAGTGTGTATACTCGTTCCTATGAGTCGAAAGAGGGAGAGCCTTAATTCAGTTATGGTTGTACTCATCGATTTTTTCATGTGAAGTTTCTATTGATGTGCGCCAATGTGCATATCTTCGACTGCAGTAAATAGATGATTACAAATGACCAACACCCTTGACCTTCACCTCCCAGAGGGATGCGAGATAATCTCTTGTGTCTGGACCTCACGTCGGAGACCCGCAGAATAAGAATGAACACCTTTCTTGCTATGCTGAAGGCCAAGGCTATAAGACTATATGACCAAGGTTCAGTACTTCAGTCCAGAGATCGGACGTGGTACAGGCGTTTCCAAAGCGGGGGTATGGGAGGACCAAAAGCTCACTTTCCAGAGGGAGGACCAGTACGGGGTTGACAGCACAAAGACAAGGATATGCGAGAGATACTTAAGCTGTTCACATGCTACGCATGCTGTCTGCCCCATTATGAATTATGCTTCAGTTGCTTGGATTACTATTACACCCAGGGAAATTTGGTTATCCGGGTGACCCTGGACTCCCACACCAATTAAAACTTGCTGAGACCACATGAACTTGATATCGAACTATATGTAATCCGCTCTTGGCAGACCAATGCAGGGCGCTGATACGTTTTCAGCCCAAGGACTAGTTTTCAGCTAAGAGTTGGACGTTTCCCACCTGATTATGTCCTACTCATGCTATACGGACGGACTTGTCCGGTTGATCCCACTACCCACACTACAGGCGCTGGCGGACATGTGTGCAGACTGGGGAACACGTTATCCATATTAATTCAAGGACATATTGACAGCGCTCAAAAAGGCACGCTCAATGACAATATCTTACTAATCACATTTTTCACAATTGCATAGTGAATTCTCATTGCCATTCTGAGGGCATGCAATCGCAGACCAATTTGTTTGGCAACGAACAGCTCCCGAATAACACGGTCTCGCATAGGGAAAGGGCCATTTTTCAGTTCCTCCTGGGACACGATAGACGGAAGGCCCGAGTGACGTTCGGCAAAGAGGAAAATCTCGGAAATTTGCTAATAGATTAATAACACACAGAACTGAGAATTATTTTATAGATTGCTACAGGTATATCCGACGGATGATTGTAATCTTAAGACAAAAGAGATGAATTCTGCAACCAATATAGACTAACAATTTCAGACATCAAGAATTCTTTTTTTGGGGAGTTCGAATAACTAAATATATATATTTTTTATTAAAGTAAGTATATTTCATCAAGCCATAAAAATATATGGGTCTCCCCTGAAGGTGTCTAGCTCCTCGGGCCCCCAAATGTCTTGCTATGCCCCTGGTTGCTTTTCTGCAAGATCCTCAGCATCTTCGTGACCGTCAGTTTTGCATTTATAACTTATAAATCATGGTTGGTGAAATATTCGTATTAAAAAGTTATGTCACAATGCAGTTCCATTTCCCAAGCTCTTCATTGTATACAAGCCACATAACAAGCAATACACCTTTCCAACTACATCAGCTACCCTGACGATATTACACAAATTACAACTCTTATTAAATCCCATATCATCACTCCAAACCCAACCAACCGTCTTCATAACTAACAGACGGATATTCACCAATGGAAAACTCATTCAAATTCAACCGGATGTAAAAGAACCTCGGTCACTCAACCAATAGTCATAATCTGCATTGAAGTACGGCCATCGCAACATGACAGCCTCTTTGGTCTCGCCAGAAGTGGCAGGGGAATGATCACATATACCGAAGCCACAGTAAATCAAAGCAAAATTGACCCTTCAAAATTACTCTCGCAGCAGGAACTACCTTGTCATCATGCAGGAGTTTGAACATCCTCCCCCAGGGGAATCAGTCCTGGAGGTGCTCCCCCCATTTCCTATCTACTGTAATGGTCTCCCTGAGGGACGGTTGCCTGGTCTAATGGAGTAGGAGGAAATGGCCTTCCCCGACCCGTCACCGGAGGAGTTTCATCCACTCGCGTGCTTGCCGGGCATAGGATCCCTGTGTACTAGGAGAGAGGATGACTGACGTGCTCTTCACATGGAAGATTTTAAAGATCTAAAATCAGATACCACTGTAAGTTGACAACTCATGTATGCCGAAGATTAAAGCTGTCACGATGCAAAACTAATGGGTTTATGACATAAAAAAGAGGGTTGGGCTACAAACAAGAACCCTCTGGCATCAGTCCAGATAGTGACGCTCAATAAATGAAAGTACTACTTATTCATGAGAGAGTGATACGTGGCTTCTGATGTCTAGCACAAATTTAAACCATTATTCATGAGAGACTTCATGCTCCTGCTAATTATAATGGGGAGGCATAAGACAACGGTTAATGGTTAAAAGCAAAATAAATGTGCTAGACATTTAAGGTCATGTAGCACTATGGGAAGGAACAGTAAAGGGAAGTGAAGGGTGGTAGATTTAGTAGTTAGTTGCTATGAGTAATCTATATATAGTAGTACTGAAAAGGTTAAAGAAGGGTAAAGGAGCTGATGAGTGAATGGGTTGCGGTGGGGTAAGGGGATTAGATCAAGTGAAGGATATGTATGCGTCTGAGGAAGGAGAACAGGTTGTCAAAGCAAAAAGTGGGGGAATTCTGTAAGGATGTCTGATAGGTTAGGAGGTCAGTGAAGGGAGGAT